AATATTTTTTCCATACTGTCTTTGTATTAATCAACTTTACTGAACTGACTTATTAGTTCTAATAATTGACCTGAATATTCTAGTCAGTTTCTAGGTAAAACATTTTTAGATGATTAAAGCTCATCTCAAGGAGCTTTAATCTCATGTTTTCCAATGCTCTACCTTCCATTTCTCTTTCTGGCTTACTACATAGGGTAGAACTTCCCACATAATGATGAACAGAAGCAGTGATGGCAAGTATTCCTGATATTTTGCTAATTTTGATGGAAATGTTTATAATGACTCACCACTAATGATGATATTTGCTGTGACTGCTTGACAAATATCACTTAAGAAAGTTCTCTTCTATTCCTAATCTGCTAAAAATTTTTATCATGAGTCATTAATGTCATCAAATGCTTGTTTTTAAAGTCTAAAACATTAAATGCTGTCAAATTATTTTTCTACATCTATTGAGGTGATCACATGCTTCTTCTCCTTACATCAGTTAATATAATGGAATAAATGTATTAATAGTAATGTGGTAAGACACAATACACCAGTGAATTAAATTTGCAAATATTTCATTTAATAATTCTATATCTGTTCATTAAAATAGAGAATCATCTATGTTCATAAAGATGAAACTTCTAAAATTTTCTTTTTCATCTAGTTTGTATATTAACATGTCTAATCTCATAAAATGAGCTTGATAGGTCTCTATTCACTGAAAAAGACCGTACAAATCTTTCAGACTTGGTAAAAACATGCAAAATCATCTCAGAATGATGGAAGAGAGGCTATCATTAATCCTAGATTTAAGTGGTTTCAGTCTTCTGTATGCAATGTGTTGTTCTATGATTAATATGTTCTGTCTCCTGTTTGTTTTGTTTGTTTGTTTGTTTTAATCTCAACAGTTGTCTCCCACATGAAGACAGGGAGCATCTCATGGTTGTTTGATACCTTCTTACAGACCTGGACCCCAGTTTGTGTTCAACAAATAATTTTCTGATTGACTGACAGACCCCAGTTTTGGATTCAGTCTTTAACCTTTTATCAGAAAGATTTCAAACACACACTAAAGGACAATGATCCTTTGTGTATCCAACACCCAGCTTCAATAATTATCAGTTCATAACCAATCCTCTCCTATTCATCCCCACATGCCAATCCCCATATTTTCTGAAGACAATCACAGATATTTGTTCATTTCAGGATGTATATCTAAAGGAAAATGACTTTATAAAAATATAATACCACTATCTTATCTTAAAAAATTAAAGAACTCCTTAAATTCATTCAGTTAACACCCAAATTCCCAATGGTCTCAAATGATTTTTTCCTTAAAGATGTTTTCTCTTGAAAGGATCTATGCATTGTGATTTCTTAATCTTTCTTTTAATCTATAGGTATATTTCCCTTTTATTTTTCTTGCAATTTATTTGACAAAACTGAATCATTTGTCCTGTAGAGCAGTGCTTGTCAAATGGTCTATGTTGAAGAAACAGTTTAAGATTTCCAATCTGTCTCAGATGAGACACGGTCCTACTGTGCATGACTACCACACAAACTGAACACATGCAACTCACCAGGAATAATGAAGAACCAGTTTATACAGTGTATGTTCTCATTCATTTGGGGAATATGAATAATAGTGAAAGGGAATATAAGGGAAGGGAGAAGAAATGTATAGGAAATATCAGAAAGGAAGACAGAACATAAAGACTCCTAACTCTGAGAAACGAACTAGGGGTGGTGGAAGGGGAGGCGGGAGGAGGGCGGGGGGTGGGGGTGAATAGGGGACGGGCACTGAGGGGACACTTGACGGGATGAGCACTGGGTGTTATTCTGTATGTTGGTAAATTGAACACCAATAAAAATTAATTTATTAAAAAAAAGAACCAGTTTATATGCTATTCTACAAAAGAAGTCCCCTGATAACGTGCTTGAATATGATGGCTTAAACATTTCTAAGCACTACTGCTTAAACATTTCTAAGGTCTTCCTTTTGATTCTTCTGTTTATTTCATTATACACATCACATCACAGCACATTGCCGTGCATTGCATCACTGCTGTCACATTTCCTACAGGCCAGATTTTGCTTATTAATTCTCCATGGCATAGTTTAACATGTTTCTGTGCCCTCTGTACTTCCTATAAATTTGGAGCTGGATCTAGAGATTTGATCAGATTCAGGTCCAAATTTTTTGCCAAGATTTTATAGTTGGCATTGTATTCTTCCATCAGGAGACCTAAAAGTCTGGCCCTGGCTCCTCTTTTTGTGATGTTGGTGGTCACTAGTGAACAATATTATTACTAGTACTAAATGTCAAAAGCCCACTAGTAAATTTGGTTGTCCAAAGTTTTTTTTCTCTGAGAGACTCTGTGCCCACTGGTGAGGTCTCTACGGGCCCAGTTTCTGACACCATGCAGTTCTTCTAGCTGGCAGTTTAGAGTTCCCACCATTTGTGAAGATCTTAGGGAGACCTTGTCACCCAGTTGTGCTGGAGATGAGCTTTACTATTCCAGGCACTGTATCTGTTTTGTAAGATTTGGGACTATTAAAAACTATACAACCCACTTCCCTTCTACTTTTTTAGAACAATGTTGTTTGCTTTAGCATCTTAAGATGACACTTAATTCATTGATTTTTCAGGGTTTTAAGATTTTCCTAAAAATATTTAAAACTAAATGAACTACAAGTATCTCTTTAGCTACATCCAACACATTTTGCTTTATTAATGTTAAATATAGATCACACAATTTAAGTGGGGTCTACCAAGTCTCTTCAAAATAAAGTGACTATTTTCCTGCACACCTGAGTAGTCTGAAGACAGTATTTTCATTGCTGGCTAATCCTAAGTAATTTGCAATTTACTGTAATATTTCTCTTTATCCCATGACTTTATAACTGTAAGTTTTTATTTTTTTTAAAGATTTTATTTATTCATGAAAGACACCGAGAGAAAGGCACAGACATAGGCAAGGAGAAGCAGGCTTCCTGCAGGGAGTCTGATGTGGGACTCGATCCCAGGACCCCAGGATCATGCTCTGAACCAAAGGCAGACGCTCAACCAGTGAGCCACCCAGGCACCTTGTAACGATGAATTTTTAAATGTCTGAGGATATGAAAAAATTTTATTGTCCTCTCCTCCTGCTTTCTATATAAACTACATTGTAGTCAAGCACAGTTCTATTTGTGTTATTGATTCTTGGACATTTGTTTAGACTTCAGCTGTCAACTAGTACATGAACAACTTATTTTAGGTATCCCATATGACTGCATAGCTCTGAGTATAGAATTTGCCATTTGTATGTATAGTTACAGGATTTCATCTTATTTTAGTTACAGAATTTTAAAAATAAACATAACTCAAGCCTGTTAATCATGTTTTCACATTGTCTATATCTTTACTCATTTTGTCGTCTTAATTTATTGGTTTTTGATTAAAGTCATTTAAAATCTTCTACTATGATTATGAATTTGTTTGTAACGAGGTAAACTAGGCGGAGCACCTGCCAGCCACTGTGACCCAGACACCCTATTACTAGCATACATCTCCTCTAGCACATTAATTGTAGGTGACATTCTATCACTTGGTCATATTTCTTAGACTTTAACTTGTCTGTGTTCATTTCCTTTTCATTTTCTAATAAACCCATACCCTTATTAATAATATTAATTCTAATTTAGAAAAGTCAGCTATTCTAAGTAGTAAGAATGCTCATTTAAGCAGCTCTGTGATCCTTCTTGTGTAAAGCTACCCTACTGCTGGAGTATCATGGATTCATAGGAAAACCTGAGGCATACAGTTGGCTCATATGATGTGACTCATTCAATACAACAAAACAATGGTTACTTCTTAGTCTAGGGATCATATACTGTACTTTTCCATGCCCAACAGTCCATTTAGCTTCTGTTCACAGGAGGGAGTTTTGTGATGATAATTGCTCCTCCTGTTTCCAAGAGCATGTTTAGAAGTGCGAAAGGAGTAAATTGAAATGAAACATTTCATTTCATTCCATTTGTTTCTTACATAAAAACACAGATTTAAAAATATATGAATGAAAGACAAGTAGTACTACAGGATTTTAGGAAACAGACTCAAGCTTTTAGGGATTTTCATAATTTGCCAAAAAAATTAGGAAATCGGTATATTATATCAGCAAACAAAGGTGTTGGGTGCTTTTGAGAATAACCAGAATGTCAGATTTCCTGAGCAAAAACCTCAAAGCATCTAAAGATACACTTCAGGAATAGAAACTAAGGCATCTGACAATGGAAAAAATGTCACGCACCTACAGGTGTAAGAAAGGGAAGGCTAAGGTAAGAGCTTGGGAACAAGAACATAGTTTCCAATCTAAGCCAAAAAACTGCCAGTCCCCTCTCCTGTGTAAGAAATTCACTGTTCTCTAATAATATGAATACCTAATTAACTTTTACAAACTGAGAAGTGGAATTATCCAACTGTATGTTTCAGCATTTTATCTTAACCATCCTGGACTGAGGATAAATGTGAACCCCTGACTATTCATTCACATAAAGGAACCCAGAGAAAGGCAGGTCTCAAGACTGAAAGAATAAGGGCAGAAAAGGGAAAACAAAGGCCCACTAATTTCTGTAGGTACTAATACAACAAATCAATCAAAAAATATTGAGTCTTGGGCAGCCCCGGTAGTGCAGCGGTTTAGCGCTGCCTGCAGCCCGGGGAGTGATCCTGGAGACCCGGGATCAAGTCCCACATCGGGCTCCCTGCATGGAGCCTGCTTCTCCCTCTGCCTGTGTCTCTGCCTCTCTCTCTCCCTATGTCTCTATGAATGAATAAATAAAATCTTTAAAAATATATATATATAAAGTCTCGGCCTGTATAAAGGAAACCATGAAGGATGTATAATTCACAAATGCAAAATGAGGTCTGGGTTCACTGAGCTAAACTGGATTCACTGAGATAAACTTTAGTGACCTCAACAAGAATGTCCATGCTGTCTATCAATAATAGGAAATGTCTCAAGACTCACCTCGTGCTTAGAGAAGAGTCGGACGCCCTCCAGCTGGTGGAACACTGGGTAGTGCTGGGAGTCAATCTGGTCGCGCCGGTAGACATCGCCCACTACCAGGAAGGCATCCAGCCCAGCATGCAGCAGGTCCCACTGGTGTGCGGACGTGTGCGCTCGCAGCATGTGATTCCCATTTAGGTAATAGTTGTCTCCCTTCTTCCGGCTAGGGTGGTCAGGTGGGATGAGCAGGCTGTCAAAGTTCTGCCAGGTGGTGACGACCGGAGAGAGGTCATCATAGACCGAGAACATTGGCGTCCCAAAGCGGCCCACATACTGCTTGTAGAAGTGCTCCTTCACCCTCTCTTTGATCAGCCAAAGAGGATGATGCTGCTGGTTGTGCAGATTCCTGCCAACCCTGGAGAGGACCTTCTGGGACAGGTTGCTATAGTCGTCCTGAGGGTAAGATTTGCCCAGCAGCTCTACCACACTGCCTGGAGCTCCTCGGGCAGCAAACTCTGAAGCAGCAGGTCTCGAGCCCAAGGCCTGATGATGATGATGGCCTTTGGAGACACTACTGGCTTTCCTCACCAGGTAAACATGCATATGGGCAACTCTCCTGAGAGCTGAGCAAACCATTGCAACTTCTCTCACAGATTCTGGAAAGAGCACACATGCAAAACACAAGTCAAGCTTCACTCTGTAAAAGGTAAGTATGTCCTGTGTTTCCAACCTGCTCCCCACTGTCCTAATGACGTGTTTCCCCTACTACCTCTTCCACACAGACCAAAGACCCCATTAAGGAAATCTGCTGACTGAGGCTTAATAGGTACTGCTCTACATCAAAAGAACCTTAAACATCATGTTAGATCCCTACTTTCTAGCTATTCTTCATGGGTTTGAAGAAAACTTCCTTTATCGTGTCATGTCATGTCCTGAATCCCTCATGTTCAATAAAACTTTGTGTGACAATTTGCTTTTATTTGAACTATATTCTAGAACCAAAAGGTTTAGAGGGATCATCTAAAAGACAAGGCTTGGTTAACCCTAACAATGTCTCATTAATGAAAGGAAGTACATGACTATATACAGCAGAAGACAGGATATTTAAAACAGACATCCTGCAGGTTTCTGCCCATCATTCTCCTAACCTCAAAACTTGCTTAACTTTGACACATAGACTTCCTGGTTATTCCACTGTATTACAAAATGTTATTATATAATTTACAAAACTGCTACTACAATTTGTTACATTAACTTTTTTTGATATTTCAAATAAAATATACCACTTTGGGTGATGGTTTTTATTTAATATTTATAAAAATATTAAATATTGGGGTGCCAGGGTGGCTCAGTCAATTAAGCATCCACCTTCAGCTCTGGTCATGATCCCAGGGTCCTGAGATCTAGCTGCATCGGGTTCCCTTTTCAGAGGGGAGTCTGCTTGTCCCTCTCCCTCTGCCCCTCCCTCATGCTTGTGAATCCTCTCTCTCAAATAAATAAATATCTTAAAATCTTAAAAGAAAGAAAGAAAAAGAAAGAAAGAAAGAAAGAAAGAAAGAAAGAAAGAAAGAAAGAAAGAAAGAAAGAACAACTTAGGGAACTATTAAACAAAGTGTAATATTAAATATTATAGACTTTACCAATGGACAGCTGAAGCTATTTTTATAAACGCAAATCTTTTCTATCCTCACATCTGGTCATGTCATTTAAACTAAATACCAGTGCAGTATCCCACCATTATATTTTTGTTTTGTAGAAGAGCAAGTTTCTAATATGCACCTATATTAAACCAGGAATGGGGCTACACTTACTTGGGAAGGGATACAAAGCAGCCAGAAGACAGAGTACTGACCAAATCTTTTTTAAAAACATGTCTAGAATTTGGGGCACCTGGGTGGCTCAGTCAGTTAAGCATCTGCCTTCGGCTCAGGTCATGATCCTAGGGTCCTGGGATCCAGCCTCCCATCAGGCTCTTTGCTCAGCAGGGAGCCTGCATCTCCCTCTGCCTCTGACTACAGTGCCCTCCTCTGGTGCGTGAGTGCTCATGTTCTCTCTCTCTCTCTCAAATAAATAAATAAATAATATCTATAAAAAATTGGAAATTTTTTTATCTGTTGGGCTACTTTAAAGCATACAACCATGTGGTTATTCTACTTCAAGGCCCAATAATCATACTACGAAAATACATACCTTCACAATAGTAAGCTGCCTTAGGAGAGAATTCTATTGTTCCAAGTGACATCAAAAGCATACTGAGTAGTACCCAGGCATCACAGTACATCTAATTCAAAAGTGTAACGGAAAATATCTAGCTACAAGTTATCGTGTGTGTGTGTGATTGCTTATTAGAAGCCTGCGCATAGCACCTTTGCAGGAGACTGCCATCATGAGAAGATACCAGGAACTCCCCTGGATTTATTCATTTATGGCACTATTTTGTCAGTTGTTTCAAAAAGCATTTTTGGCTGAACTTCAGTGGAAATCTGTCTTCCCATATACGGTGTTCAGTGGATTGTCGATGAGATTTTAAATATGCTTATGCCACCTTATACATCTTAGCACACAGTCACACTGTTAGGTTGTCAAATATCTAGCTCAGCACCCTTAGCAAGACACAAGAAAGCATCTCTTTTCCTCCAAAAGTATATGCTGTTACACAAAGGTCAGAATTCTTCTGGAAACATGCTATTGGTGCAGTCGTTCATGGAGTGCTATCTTTTCCTTCTTGGTTCCCAACCCTTCACACATCCAAACCCACTTCTAGGTCCTGTTCCCGCATATGTGCCCACATATGTGCCCCAACTTCCTCATGCCCCTTTTTTGTTCTCCTCACCCTACCTTTAGCTTGCGGAGGAAAGTTTAATTTTCTTGTCCTCTTTTCCAGACTTTTTATCTATCTGTGCAGCCCTGGCATATATTCCCCACTGTCACTTCTCCCCATTCAAGAAATTTATTTGGTTTGTTTTTTTAAAAAGGAGATTTTATTTTTTTTTATTTTTTAAAGATTTTTTATTTATTTATTCATGGGGGGGGGGGGGCAGAGACACAGGCAGAGGGAGAAGCAGGCTCCATGCAGGAAGCCTGACGTGGGACTCGATCCCGGGTCTCCAGAATCAGGTCCTGGGCTGAAGGCAGCACTAAACCCCTGAGCCATCCGGGCTGCCCAATTTGGCTTTTTTGTTTTTTCTATTGTCACCTATTAGAGTGAGAGAATAATGATTATGATAGCTTTACGACTTCCATCTCAGAAGGAGATGTCCTTCTTTTGTCTCTCTCAAATTTTTTTTTTTTTTCTCTCTCAAATTTCTAAGAAACAGTTCCAGGCTCAGTCAGTTAAGCATCTGCCTTCAGCTCCAGTCATGATCTCCGGATCCTGGGATCAAGCCCCACATTGGGCATCAGGCTCCCTGCCCAGCAGGCTGTCTGTTTCTCCCTCTCCTTTTGTCCCTCCTCCTCCCCCTCTCCCACTCTTGTGCTTACACACACTCTGTCTCTCAAATAAATAATAAATAAATAAAATCTTTAATTAAAAAAACAAAGAAACAGTTCAAGTGGAAAACACAGGAGACCCAGGAAAATGACACCACCCCAATGGCAGTCATACTTCTATTGTTCCATTTTCAGCAACGCTGCGAGGTTAAGTGTTATTCCTACTACTTCACAAAGAAACTAAGACTCAGAGAGATCATGCAACTTGCATAAACTCATATACTTCCCCATGGACAAAGTTCAGAACCCTGACCAACTTAAATACTGAATACAATACAATCAAGAGCTCCCAGACTATTAAATACAAATTACATCTCTTTAATTAGCTCTCTTAATTTCTCTTACCTGAGCAATTTAAATTATATATAAATGCATTTTAAATGAATGAATAAACTGATAAATCAAATAAAACCCACTAGTGTAGATAGTGGGAACAAAATGCTATTTAACCAAAAACTGGTAGGCCAAACCTGCCCATGTTCTGTTTTTGTAAATACAGTTTTGCTGGAATGCAGCAATATGAAACCCATTCATTTACATATAGTCTGCAATAGCTTCTCTACCATGAAGGCAAAGCTAAATAGTTGCCACAGAAAACATATGGCTCACAAAGACCTGAAACATGTATTATCCTATCCTTTACAGAAAAAGTTTGCTGAGCCCTGTTTCAACTTCATTAACTGAGAAGTTCTTCCAAACTATTAATATCTTCCTAGTCACAAAATATGCAGATTATAGAGCCACTAAAAGTAACAAAAGTATATGGATATTAAATGTGCCAATAATAGTACAGAAGACACAATGAGACCAACCGTGACAAGAGTCAATAGAATACAAAGGGCGAAAGACCACACTCTGCAGAGACACCCACGTGGCTGTGACCCTAAGTCAGCCCTTCAGGCACTGTGTATTACCCTTGGGCCCCTGGTTTGACCTTTCTGACTCTTAAGTTTCTCATGTAGAAAACTGTAAAAAACAATACCTACCTCATAGTAAAAGAACTAAACTAGATCCTGTTCATTATATACTTAACTCAAGGCCCAATACATAAAAGATGAATCAAGAGTTAAAAACAACTCAGAGACTTCTAGAGACCAGATAACAGAAAAACGGTAGTTATTCACTGATACAGGAAACACAGGATGAATTTTGTTTGTCTGTTCAAATGATTTTCATGTGTGTTTTTGTGGTTGGAGAGGGAAACAGCTTTGGACAGGTTAAAGCTAAATATGGCTGATCATAGTCATGTTAGAATTTCTAAGAATCAGTCTGAGGTATGGATTTGAAAATGGGGTGAGAGATTAGTGCTACAAATGAAGGCCTTGAAAATTATGTGTATTAAGGTGAGAGTTAACATTATAAGAGCATACAATAGTCCATGAGCAGGTGAGAGCAAAAGTAAAAATGGGCAAAAGACCAAATTCTTGGAAGCTACCCTATTTAAGGAAAGGGTATATAAAGAATAAGCCAGAAGAGACTAAAGCGTACAATATCACAGAACCTAAGGGCAGAGAGTTCCTAGATGGCAACCAAGATCTTTTCTGAACCCACTGTATGTGCAATCCTTAGCATGCAGTATTATTACTATTTGTCTATCTTGTTGTTAGACTATGCAGTTCTTGAGAGCAGAATACACACATCTCTCTCTTATGTAAATCTTCATATACCCAGAGTCAAGCACTACACCTGATACTGGATGAAAGAATAGGAAAGAGGTGAAAGAGGAAAAACAGAAAAGGATGGGGAAAGAATTGGTCAATATGACAAAATGTAACAAAGAGGTTAGGCAGGGGGCAAAGAAAAGAACTATTTGACAGAATGACCAACAACAGGGCAATTTCCATGGCTAAGTGAGGAAACAATCAGATTATCATGGGTGAAGACATGAATCAAAATGAAGGAGATACTAAAGAGAGAATAAAAACATTTAAAACTTCTGAAACTGAAGGAAGGTAAGCTAAGGGAACTTTTAATAGATGGTCCTAATCTCCCAAGGAAAGCTTTAGATTTATAAGAAAAATATTGTGTATGATCTCAACATTCACCAGGTAAATGTGATTTTTTTTTCAAAGAGGAATGCTATAGTTTAGTATGAAAAGTTATGAATATTAGATAGTAGGGTCATAGGAGGGCACTATGCCAGAAATTAAGAGGAATCTATTTAAGAGTAATTTGTAGAAAATAAAAATTCAAAGAACCATGAGAAATTTGAAAAGGAAAAAGGAAACTGATTAAGAGAAAGTGTAAGATCAGAATGTAGAGGGAAACACTAGAGGAATAATGATGATTGATTGATGTCAGGAGTTAGCCAAAGAGAAGTACATTAATTGATGACCTGTTACCCATGAACAACCTAACAGCAGAGAGCAGTCACTAGAAGATTTTTCTAGATAGACTCAAAGGTTATTGATTTTTAAAAATAAATAAATAATTAAAAATGAACATACATTCTGTAAGAATCCAAGAAAGTCACCAGCCGAGGGCTCTGGTGGCTGGTACAAATAAATAAATTGATCCAAATACTACTTAGTACCAGATAATCTATCTTCCTTATACATTCTCAATTTTAACCTACTTTAACAAGAGTGCTTTACATTTTATGAAATAATTTCACACGTGCATTACTAATTCCAGTAATACCTCCTCCAGTACACATAATTATTAGCCACAACTCACAGAAAAAGAAATATTGGTTCACAAATTACATAACTCAATTCCCATGGATAAAGTAGCAAATAGGGGATCAAATCCTTGTCTTCTAACTTTAAAATCCCATGATGTTTCCACTCTATGCCACTGAAAAAGAGAAATAAGATGGAGGCAAAAAAGACACAAAAACAAAGGTATAAATAAGAGTTTCTTTAGCCAGTGGTACAAAGTTTTAGTTCTATAAAATGAATATAAAAATGTCATGTATTAAATATATAAAGAACTCTATGTACCTCTCACCCTATCATGACTTAAAAATAATATGCCAGAGATAGTCAACACTACTAAAAAATGCAATGAACTTTTTTTCTTTATTACTTACAAGGACATTTTGAGATGTCTGCAATAGGCCAAGACTCTTTTTAAAAGGCTATTCAGGTAAGTTTGTGCTGACTTTCTTTTGATACATTTCCCCATAAAAGTCAGAAAGAGGCAAAATCACTCTACTGGCTTTAGACTGAGTGCCTCAGGGCCCTATAAAAAGTGCTCACTGCTGTTGTTTGTTGATGATGGTACCTGGGAAGATAAGAGGGTGGTTTCTCCCACTGTACAGTATGGGCTAATTCACTCCATCATATTTTCCTTCCTTCTTTGGTCATTCCAAGTTATACAAACATACAGTATTTCAAGCTACTTTGACTAATAAAAGATCATAAGAAATAAAAAATTATTATGTCACTCTAAAGGACACTTACTTATAGCTATGATGTAACTTTGTGTTTATAAGAAAAAATAAACAATTACAAATAATTAACTCAAACCAGAAAAGAAATGAAAAATCTGAGTGGAGCATGCCCTTTCTAATGTTCTTGGTCACTGGTAGCTGTAGCTAATAATTGTGTGTACTGGAGGAGGTATTACTGGAATTAGTAATGCACGTGTGAAATTATTTCATAAAATGTAAAGCACTCTTGTTAAAGTAGGTTAAAATTGAGAATGTACAAGGAAGATAGATTATCTGGTACTAAGTAGTATTCGGATCAATATATTTATTTGCACCGGCCACCAGAGCCCTCAGCTGGTGACTTTCTTGGATTCACCCAACACCACAAGAGACCTTTTCTCTTACTCTCTGATCCTCTATTTACATAGTCCAGAAATGTGCATTATTAGGAAACAGACTTCTGGCTTGATGTTGATACAACCAGGAGTAACTGTGCTGCACTGCCCAAATCTGCGGTAGGGAAGGAAGGACTCATCCACCCAGATACTCCTCAGGACTCTGCCTTTCTTCAAGACAGCCTTACCTAGGGGTGCCTGGCTGGCTCAGTTGGAAGAGCATGAATCTTGCATCCCAATCTTCATCTCAGAATTTGCTTCCTGGCGAATCCAGCCTGGGACAGATGTGACAGATTAAAACCTCTACTCCTCCTCCTGAAGTATAAGGACAGTACACTCAATGCCACTTTGATACTACCCAGATGCTCATTTTCCTTCTAATCAGAACAAATTGGTTTTTGTGCAGTTAAAATATACATAACATAAAGTTTGTCATCCTTAAGCGTGTAGTTCAGTTGCATTTGGTACATTCACATTGTTGTGCAACATCATCACCATCTATGCCTGGATCGTTTTTATCATCCCAAACTGAAACTTTGTAAAAACAATGTTTTTAAGCAAAATTACATAGTGACATTTTTAACACTGTGAAGTCCTTACAGAAGTGCGGCTAAAGCTCATTTTCTTCAAGTGTCAAAATCAATGTACATAGCTCTATGTTCCAACTAGGACAGAAAAAATTTCTTGAAAATTGACATTGGAACTAAATGAGGGGAAAGAGAAGTCCTAGCGTACCCAAAGCAGTACATCTTAAATAGATACTAGATCACTTTTTTTAGCTCTTTTTGATACAAATGTTATTCAATTCTCTATACTAAAACACAACTTATTCTGACCAAAAAACAATGGTCTGTGTCACCCAACAGAACTTTCTGCAATGACAGAAATATCCTATATCCACACTGTCAGATGTGGTAGAACCAGCTACATATGGTTACTGAGTATTGGAAATGTGGCCAGTGCAATTAAGGAATTTCATTTTTCACTCTATTTTACTTAATTTTAATTGAAGTTGGCCACATAGGACTATAGATACCATATTGGACAGGGCAGATCTAGACCTTCATATAAGAAAAATGAGAATTCCATTCTCAAAACAATCAAACTGATTCCTAAGATTGTATTTTAGGATACAAACTAGCTTCTAAAATAGTATACGGATTTCAGCTTAGAAACAGATATTCAATCTTCATAAAAATTTTAACAATTTGAAAACTAGAAAGGACTAAAGAAATCATTAAGTCCAACAGTCATAAAGAAGCTAAGTCACAGATTAACTATATTCCCAACGATATGCAGGCAATCAGTCAGTCAGAGGTGATAATCCATTGGCCTAATTCCCAGGTACAAATTTGTTCTAATCTTGAATTCAGTTAAGATCTCACCTATAATGAGGAATCTAAAAGAATCAAGTACACAGAAGCATGAAAAGTAGAAAGGTAGTTACCAGTGATGCAGAGGAGGGGGGAATGGAGAGATGGTCAAAAGTCACAAAGTTGCAGTTTGTAAGATGAAGAAGTCAAGAGATCTAATGTACAGCATGATAACAACTATAGTTTATACTACTGTACTGAGTATCAGAAATTCATGGAAAGTAAAGATTTCAGATTTTTTTGTCATTAGATACAAAAAAAAATGGTAACTACATGAGATGACTGTGAATTAGTTTGTAGAAATCATTTCATATATATGTGTATCAAATCACTATAATTATTTTAAATACATTATTCTTATTTTAAAAATTAAGTTCAATTAATAAATAAAAATTAAAAAGATATGTAAGGCATCTTGTTATATGGTCACAGATTGTATTTGGATGCTTTTAGTTGTTCAACAGGCCACATGAGAACACAGTAAGCTTTCTTCACCACTATAAATCTAGCTCAAGTGACTAGAACTAGCAAAACAGCAAAGTATTTGTTGTTAGAATGAATGAATTTTGTAATGGTTAATTACAGTCTTTCCTTTTAATGTCCCTCAGTCTTGTATGTAAAAGAAACTAAGCAGTGCATTAAGTCTGCTGGACTGGTCATTTCAAAGCACAATTAGCTTACGGGAAAGGGCCATTGTAAGCAAACATGACCCACATATGGTCACGACCACACAAAAAAAGATGAGGCACATTCCATTAACCTCCAGATGCAGTGCTTAAACACTTTCTACCAAGAAATATGGATCGTGGCTTAGTCAACATACAATCTGTACATTTTACTCCACTGAAATATGGTGGGGAAATGGCCAACTTCCATAGACTTTTACTCATAAAAGGGCAAGGCAAGAGTGTGCTTATGTTCCTGCTGAGTAGTATGAACACAACAACAACACCAACAATACAAATGTCTCTAAAAAGGCAGCTCTCTCCATTACTTGTGAGAGTGTTATTGGTGCAACCTTTCTAAAAAGCAATTCAGCACTACCAGGAGATTTAAAACTGTTCATACCCTTTGACAGGGTAATTACCCTTCTAGGAATATATCACAAGAAAATAATGTAAATGAAGGCAGAAGTTAAACACAAAGAAGTTTCATTACAGTATGATTTATAATACAAAAAAATTAGAAACAATATAAACATCCCTCAACAAGGGAGTGATTAAGTAAATTATAGAACTATACAATAAAATATTATGCACTCATAAAGTATAATGGTCTCAGAGTTTTAATGATATAATCATATACTTATAAAGCGATAAATAGGACATAAAATTGTATGTATGATATGATCTTAGCTATGTAAATATATGACCTACCTATAAATACATGCACACTACATTTAGGAACTAAACAAGATTTAATAGGTTTAATCCCTTGTCCTTATTTTCTATTTTTATATTTCTAAGCTTTCTAAACAGATATTACATTTTTAATTGAACTGTCTTATTTGAAAGAGTTGAATTATTATAAGAAAAAGTTATTTTAAAAATATCTGTTGAGTTGAGCTTTAATCATCTTAGGCCTGTATTAAAGGCCTGTATTAAACTCACTTATATCAAAAACAAATGCCAGAATAAATGTAACATGGCCATAGAGCATTTAATTACTTGCGTCCAGTGACCAGCTAAGCAATTATTTTTTATAACAAAGCAGGTAGAATGCTTGGCTTGTAAGAACTTGTTTGCCTTTCCAATTTCCTCTCCCTAAATATAAATCAATTGTCATAATCACAATGCCAATCACTCAAAGTTCTTTTCCTAAGATACTCAGATTTTCTGGGAAATTGATGCCAGATTCTATACCAAATAAATGTTTTTCAATTTTACCCATTAAGTCTTTAATACACATTAAAGCTAAAATGTTACACTGTAATTTAGTAAAAAAAAAAAAAAAAAAAAAAAATATATATATATATATATATATATATATATATATATATATATTTATTTCTAAGGAAAATTTCCACCAAAACTTAGTCCAAAATAAGCTAATATCTAGGATTCACATGTAGGTCACTGTATGGGGCTGCCAGAGGATCTCAGAGAAATACAGCACTATTACTATCCTCATGGTAATCATCAGCCTCAATCTGGCCATCTGATGATGACTAGCCCTGATACATGGAAGTTAAAAAGGCTTGTTTCTGGCCTTCTAATATGGGTTTCTATCCTATCAGGCTCAACTGAATTCCCCCTTGCTTGCTGTTACCACTGCACACTCACTGCTCCAAGGCCAGGAATTAACTCATGACACAGTTTTTACCACAGTGCTCATGGGGTTTTTCACTTGCTGTGATGTACGTTCTCCAATACCACCAAGCACTTCTCCAATTTTCCGCAGACACCAGCTAGGTGTCCTACAATTTACTGAATTCTGACACCATCTACCAGCAGATAGCATTAGGTAGCACAGGTTTAGAGCTCAGGCCTACAAGACTGCCCTCTTGCCCCACTTTAAATGCCAATCACTAGTTCAGGTGATGACCAGCCATATATCAGAGGCTCTCCCTCCTCATGTTTAATTAACTTACCAGAGTGGCACTCAAGACAACAGTTTACATACTATTTAACCGACTTATTATAAAAATATGTTACTCAGAAACAGCCAGATGGAAGAGATGCAGAGGGCAAGGTTTGTGGAAAGGAGGGTAGGGTAGAGTTTCCATGCCTCTCCTGGGCATACAACCCTCCACATGATCAGCAACCCTAAAGCTCTCTCAACCACATCCTTTTTTGGGTTTTAGGAAAGATTCATTACATGGGCCTGGATGATTAAATCAACTGTAATGGTGGCTGAGCTCAATTTCCAGTCCCTCTCCGTCTCCTCAAAGGTCTAGCTGGTTCCCTTGGCAATCAGCCCCCATCCTCAGGTTACCTAGGGTCTTGGTGAAAACCACTTTATTCATATAAACTCAGCTGTACTAGAAAAGACACCCACTTCATCTTGATGGCCCTGGACCTATCTCTAGTACTGGGAACAAAACTAAATGCTATAACAAAAGATGCTCCTCTGAGTTATAATTACAATTAGAAATTCCAAGGGTTTTAGGAAATATGTGCTGAAAACATGGACTAAACCAAATATGTATTTCTTATAATCAACTGTATTAGCTCATTTGCGTTCACAATGTCACCATCATCAGCACTACTCTCCTCATGCTTGAAATCATTAATCCTCAATAAAATTCCAGCAATTTCATCATCATTCAAGGAATATATGGGAGGTAAACATTATCAAATTCATAATTTATTCAACTTATTACTCTTCTGGGTGATCAACTTCTGGCATAAGAGAGTATGACAAAAGAAGAAGAAGAAAGAAAGAAGAAAGAAGAAAGAAGAAAGAAGAAAGAAGAAAGAAGAAAGAAGAAAGAAGAAGAAGGGAGTGTGACATCATCTTTGCATTAGTGCTATAGTTTTCTTCAATGTCTTCTTTGCAGGTACAGTTTCAATCATCACTGTAGTCCCAAGCCAGAACCAAGCCTTTGTAGTGTTGATGCATCTACCCCACTTCAAGCCTTAGCAACTGTGTAAATAGTATCTTTAAGGCTGAGTTTCTGTGCCAGTACAGTTCTTGTACTGAAAAACGTAGAACCTACAGTTCTAAAGAAAGCATGCAGTTTGGGTCTATTTTTTTTAATGTGTTTAAAAACAGGAAACTATTTTATCAAAACAAAGTTGGGAGGTTTCAGCAAGGATCCCTACCACTCTTGATCAACTGCAGACCCAACAGGAAGTTGGACTTGACCCTACAGAGACCTGAAATTGCAAAAGGAAGGAAACTGGAGGAGGAGACACTTTTCTCATTCCCCAGGCAACAGCTCAGCCAGTGAGAAGCCACCA